GTCTAAATTTGCTTTTTTTGAATCAGATGAAAGAATAAAAGCTTGAAGAAGTTCTGGAGAAGCTTATAATAAAAATTGTATCTTACCTACAGTTAAATTTGGTGGTGGTTCAGTGATATTTTAGGATTGTTTTGGTTAGCATAGGGTTGGACCTTTGGTTGTAGTAAAAGAAAGTATGGATTCTGACGCATATATCAATATTTTTGCTAACTACTTCATACTATGGGTTAGTAACTATTCTAACTCTATTTTTCAGCAAGACGGAGCTCCATGTCATATATCAAATTATAGCATTTGGTAGATAAAAATACATAATATTTTAATATTAGATTGGGTAGCACAAAGCTCTAATCTTAATCTGATCGAGAACTTGTGAAATTATTTAGATCAGTAGGTTAGAAAAAGAAAGCCTTTACCTAAATATAAACAGGAATTAATAAATATAGTTCAAGAGGAATAAAGAAAAATTAGCATAGAGATGGTACATCACTTAATTTTAAGCTTATCTAATTATGTTAATGTGGTAATTAAAGCTAAAGGCGGACATACTAAATATTAGTCTATTAAAATATAAATTTTATTTTATAATAAATATAAAATCTGCAAATTATTTTGATATAATTTTTATTATTGGTTATTTATTACACAAAAATTATATTTAATTGATAACTAAAATTGTAATTTATATATAATTTTAATATATATAAAAAAATCTGGTAATTTAATGTAGTTTAGTGTATATAAGATATTTGAGTAATATAAATGAAAGAATATATATTATTTATAATATAAATCTCTGATAAAAGTTTTTGAATATTTTTTTATCTAATATTAAACTCAAAATTTTTATGTAAAACAATAAAAAGTTTATAAATTTATTTTAAATTAATAAAACTCTAAATTTTATATTAAGTAATTAATATTTAGTTAGGCTTTCTTACGCAGTAATAATAGCTTAAATTTACTGTAATATACTATCAACCAAGTCATCAATAGTTTTTTTTGAAATTTTCTTCTATGAATTTTTAACATGTCGTTTAAGATCAGATAGCTATTTCTTTTGTTCACTAATATTTTTCTTTACCTTAACCCATAGATTCTCAATTAGATTGAGATCTAAACTGTAAGCCAATCAATATAATACATGTAAGTTTGAAATGCCATTGCAACCTTTGATTTATGAAGGCGAATATTATCTTCTTAGAATCAACCATTATCATTTGAAAATACTCACCTCATGATTGATTTAACATACTTGCAAAGAATTTAAACATGTGAAGCACTAGTTGCAGTTCTAGTTAATAGTACAATTAGACTTAAATCTTATTTTGAAAAACATCTTCAGTACATTCGACTAGAACTATGCTTTACTGTAGCAGCAATATAAAAAGGTTTCCATTTGTTTTCAGGTTTTCATTATACTCTGCTACAATGATTCTGTTAAAATTAGGTAAAAGTTGATTCATCATTCCACATAACTTTTATTCAGGTTTCCTTTATTCAACTTTGATATTTCAAATATCATGCAAAATGAGCTTTCTTATTTGCAGGTGATATAAGAGGCTTTCATCAAGCAAGACAGTTTCTTAATTCAAGAGAATAGAGTATTCAGCTAATGATACAATCTGAAATATCCTGCCAAGTTTTCTTTTTCTAAAGCTGCTATACTCTAGCAGTGCAAAGATAATGATTATTTAATTTATCATTTATCACAAGCTTCTTAAGCTGATTTTGTTAAAATTTCTTAATCAAAGGTGATCTTTTGGAATGAAGCTTCAAGCTGGTTAATCCTGTATCACCAAATCATTTAAAATGTCAAAAATAGTTAATACTTTACAATTGACAGTCTCTACAATAGTTTGATAACTGTCACCATGTTAATGACAATAAAGTATAGCACCATATTGATTTTTAGTTAATTCTTAATTTCTTTTCATTATTATTTACTATTTCAACTATTTTTAGAAAAAAGAAGAAAGAATTTGTTTGTTTTTATTTTGAAGTAAGTTAAAATAATGTGCTTTTATTATAAATTAATATAAACAAATATCATAATTTCTTATGACTGCAGTATCATTTAGTCATGTGATATAATGATGTATTTATTTGTATTTAAACTTAGTATTCAAAAATATTTAGTAGGAGTCTGTAGTAATATATCTATTCAAAATAGAATTGATTATATTAAAGTATTAGATATTAATAAAACTTTGATGGTAAATAGAAAATATGATAATATTATTAATTTAATGTATAATCAAGTTACATATATTCTTATTTGTATTAATGATCTTATTCTGTGTAATATTAATCAAGTAGCATATTTAGAAGAAATAGAACTTTTATTTATTATTACTTTGTATTGATATTATAGTGAAAATTATATAGGAACTTTAAATTAAATTTGAAAAATATCAGATGTAATTGATAAAACTAAGGAGTTACAAGCTTTGCTAAAAATGCATAAATTATTACCAAAATATAGTACCTGATAGATGAGAAAAAATGTGATTAATAAAGTAAGTTGCAGGATTTTTTTATTTATTTAAAAATATAAAACTCTAATAAAATGCTTTATTTGTATATTAGTATTTACTTTATACATGACTATCACCTATTATATTATGTACATTGTATCAAAATCTTACCAGAAATGTAGCAAGTAGTTCAAATTTAATATTTCAAAGTCCAAGAACGAATAAAATTAATACATGAAATATAAGATCTAAACATTGTATTTGATTTGCGAAAAAATGGAGAATTTAAAGGAACTAAATTTGATAAATTTTGGGATGAAATTAATGCATATTTTAACAAAGTTAGTATATAATTATCTAATTAATTAATTAATTAATATAATATTTACTAGAAAATGGGAGAACATTGTGAGTTCTAAATGAATTATTAAATGAAAATCACGTGACAGACAGAGAAATGCTCATATAATCAAATTTTAATCAATATATAGAAATATATAGTCTTTTGCTTTACTCAAGATAATAATATTAAATATGTTTATATTATTACTAGATTATTTTAGCAGTGCATAAGCGATAACATACAACAATGATATATATGCTAATTGTAATATCAATTTGAGAATTATGTAAAAATATTATAGAACATTTACAAGTTAAATATGAAAAAGAAACTTTTTCTACAATTTTAATTTCAAGTGAAGAATAAATTAAACTTCAATTTTGGTCAAAAAACACTTATGTAAAAACTGCTATGTAATACTTTAGTCAATTTAGAATTTCTTATAAAGTACAAAGTAAACTTTATAAATCTCATTCTGATGCACATTATTGCACTGTATTATTTTATTATATTAGATTTTTTGTTATCAAATTTTGTAATTTTACTTATTTTATTTCAGCAGATGATAAATATAAGGTACCAATTGGAAAAATAATTAAAATATCAACAGGAGTTTATAATAAAGCTATATTGGTATTTTCAGATATAGAATTGATATTATGTGACTATGATTTTACAAAACTTTTAGTAATACTATCAGTTTCATTATTCTGTAATATTCCTAAAAATATTAGCAAAAACTTTATTAAGGATAAGTTTATATTGCTTATAAGGATTCTATTTTCCAATCTAGCTCAGCACTTAGGCATTCTACTGAGTGGTTAAAGTGTCTACACAAAAATATGTTATTTTACTTAAAATGATGATTATTTATACTAATGGTGATGCTGACCATCAAACTACATTTGGCTTTATTCAAATAATGATTTGTTTGTTTTTGAAAAGAAACTTTAATTTTTTAGCAGCAGTTCGAATAGCACTATATACTCATAGATAAATCCTATAGAATATGTAATATTAATTATAGATCTTGGATTACAAGATATAGCTTTAAAGAGGAGTGATATGAGTTCAGATTCTAAACGAATTTTTAAAAATTTGAAAATAATAAAAGAAATCTGAGAAAAAGCATCAAAGAATCAAGTTATAAATAAAGAATTAAAAACAGTTATTAAAGATACTCAAGAGGTTTTAAAAAATTAGACCAGCCATTTAAAATTATATGAATAAAAATTTTAATGTATTAATCCAGTCAGCTTTGAAACTTATTTTATACAATTACTGATATTATTTTTTTACATATGAATTAGATATTAAGTGAAAAGATTGACCCTACAGTAACTCAAAATAACACTTCAAAAAATAAACTTTATGCTTGTATTGATTTGCAAAACTTTATCAAGTCATATTGTTTAATTCAAAAATATTCATTTCAGGTATACTAGTTTATAATTTATTTTTACATTTGATTTTTTTTAATTTATTTTATGATTTTGTTTATTTTAAGATCAAAAATGTGGAAAAAATGAACGTTTAAATTGCAGTTCCATTTGATTGTCACAAGAATTTTGATCAATTGTATTTTATACCAGATCCACAGATTTCAAGTGGTAAGTTTATTTTTATTATTATGTTATTTTACTTATGCACTGAATTAAAACATTTATCTATAAATTAATATAGATCCTGATCACTATCAAGACTTTAATTCATTATATGGACGCAATACTACTGAAAAAGATACTCCAAGCAAAAAAAATAATCACTAATGTCAGGAACTTGACCTAAATGGAATTTTGGTTGCTACAAAAGTTCATGACTTTGCTCTTTGCACAATTTGTTCGAAATTACGTTGTATTTTTAGTCAACATATGCTAAATGATTCAGCATTGCAAATGGCTATGGAAATATTTGCATATACGTGTGGTTCACCCATAGTTCTGGATGATCATCCTTTATATAGTAAGGTTCTTACCAATTGCCCCCTATTGTTTTCACATTTAATAATATAATAAAAAAAATTGTTTTTTTTTGACCTTCCATCACCCCACCTTTGTGTTTATTAAAAATCCTCATTATGCATAATTATTAATTGGCGTGGCCTTATCTAAGCAAATTTAAAAAAATAGGAAGCATCGCAGTAGGATATTGTTTTGGATAAGAAGTTCTGGAATATTACATTAATTGTGTGTAAGAATCTCCCTTAAAGAAGATGCATATTCTGTTGGAAAATAACGTTCTAACAATTTTTCATCAATATACATAATGACATCATTATTCTCAGTATAACAACCACCTCTATTTGATTGTTTTGAAATGCGTTCTTGAGCTACGCCAGGTAATATATAATGAATTTGAAGTGAACCGCAATGGTTAAAGTTGTTAATCACACCGTCAAATTTTTTCTTCAGGTTAGTACATTTTACTTTACCATCCTTCTGGTGATACATAAGACCCCAATCTGTTGATTTTTTGTCATTATCAATATCTGTACCTGATAATTTATTGGTATACATTTTTGCACTAATGAGTAAGGACCAATATTCATATAGACTCAACTTTCCAATATAAACACCGTCTGGACGCATGTATTGACCAGGTACAAACACATATTCTAATGGTGTTGATGTGGATAGAAACTTATTGATAACATCCACATCATCTTTCAATATTTCATCATGCCGAAAAAACATTTGTAAATTTCCATATGATTTAATGTTGATAATTGCTTCTTTAGTCCATTCTGGCAGTTATGATTGGTTGTTATAGATTTCATTAACAAAATCAAAAACCGTCTTATTTTTAAAATCCATTAATCTTCCTATGACAAAATACTGCCACATGATGCCTTTAGAGGTATTTGAATTGTCATCATAATCAACAGAATGTCGTAATTCTTCAAAGAGTTTGTTAATCAACAGTTCAGTAGGTGATTTGTACTGGAAATGAAGGACAAGTTTAACAGTTTCTATCGCCAAAGGTTCCTTGACTTGCCAAAATTTTTTATATTTGTCGGATGTCAATGAAGCAATACCACAGTCGACTAATTTGGCTGAATCATCATCTATTTCACTTTTAGATACGTAACCATCAAAGAACCTTGAAATATTGTTTTACTATAATGAGTTATCAGTTTAAGAATAACAATAGATATGTTAAGTACATACCGGCAGTTAATAAAGAGTGTCATCAAGATTTTTCGTAATGCTACATTCCTAAGATTTTCCTTTTCATATGCTTCAGTTGCCAATTTTTCAAGATGGCATGTCATTCCATTCTTGACTAATTGCACTGTCTTATTTACAGCGGTTTCAAGCACAACATGTTTGCTTTCTTGTGGATTTTCTGCATCTATAATTTCTTTAACAAGGCAAGCAACCAGACGGGGACGACCAACAAGATATTTACTATTTACGATCTTGTCAATTTCACAGCCTGACAAATCAAGATAATGCATAATGTAGGCTTCAACATCTTTGCTATTTGTTGTATTGAAGTTAGTAATATATTTTGCCTCATTTCCTTTGCCGATATCACTTTGGATATCACTGCCCTGTTTAAGGGAAAATGCGGTGCCAGAAATTACTATTGAAATCTTAAACAATCTAAGAATCTCAATAATTGGCGTTAATAAACCACGTGGATGTTGATTTATATTGATAAAATAACCACTAAAAAGTTTATTGCTGGCAATATTGGATTCATCAATGGCAAAAATAAGTGATTTTTGACCGGGTAATTCAATCTGTTATATATATTGCAAATAAATTAAAATGTACATTATAAGAGTAAATGCAATTTTATTAATTTAATCAATAGATTATTACCTTTAAGAATCTTAAAGCAGACGTAATAATTGATTTCAGGTCATCAAATGCAAGTCTAAGAAGCCTCAATTCGTCTCTAATTGTTTCGATACTTTGTTGTCCGCCATTGAGCTGGGATAGAAGATAGTCACGAGGTGTAATATCCGGGAACTTCTTTTTGAGAATAATGAGATGGAGAATCCGTGCAGTAAATTCTAAAATGATAAGTCGCTTTGCTTCTGCTCTAGCAGACTTATTAATATTATCGTTATATGGTCCAAAGGCTGAATCTATTGATGCAACAAGCTGTGCAAAATTACGATCCATTGTTGGCTCAAAATCCCAATTACTATCATCTGGCGACGGTCTACACTCCACATACACTACGTATATGCCATTTTCATTCATAGACATATCAAAAATTGCTCTTGTTTTGCCAGCTCCAGAAACGGCATAAAGAAAATAGCAAGCTTTGTCTTCATTTTTTAAATTGTCGATAAGCTCTCTGCCCGTATCAGTAGTCTCCACATCTAAACGCATATCTACATATTTACTACCGCTAATTGGTATATCTCTTTTGTGGAAACGCCCGGCGATATTAGGACGAGGATAAAGTTCTGGGGGTCTACCAACAGAGATTTTCTCTCCAAGGTCGGCAATCAAATTTTCAAACGTAGGGGTATCCTTTTTTCGTTTTGGTTCTGTGTCAACAGATTCTATAGTTATGAATGTCATCAGTATATTCTAGTGTTTTGAGCTCATCATTGTGTCAAAACATACCTGAATCTGCGTATCGCTTCTGTCCAGTAGCTAAAAACAATTAAAAAAAAAGAGATCAGGCCAAACTCAATGTTTTGTTACTGCAAATTTCTTGTTCGAGAGGTAAACCATTGGGAGACACTTACCAGTGGTGGCGAGCGGCGGCGGTTCCACGATGATGTGGATGTGTTCAACAGCAGGTTGCCCTTTAAAATAATTTCCAATAATATTGAGGTCGCTGTTCAGTTCCTCACCTCCAAACTTTACTTTGACGTCGATTCCTTCATATATCTTATGTTTCTCGCTTTCAGGAATATTGACTTTCCATAATTTCAGTTTGTGTGCGGGACTATCCAATCCTGCCTGCTCCTTGATGACTATCTTGAGATGTCCTATGGTCTTGCCTGTATTGAAATCAACAGGAAATGCGTTCTTTTCGCCTAAAACGATACAACCTAACATAATTTCGGTATATCTGCAATCACGAAATTCGAGTTAAAACAGCTTTAAAACAGATTTTTCAGTAAATACAAATAAAGACCTTTTTAGAAGACCATCTAGGGGACCTTTTAACGGGCCTTTCATTTTGTATAGAAATCAGTTTTCTGTTTACATAATATCTCGGTGAATGTTTTGAAAAAAAAATACTATACGAACGAAAAGATTAGCAAATTTATACTAGCTAGCTTATATTCTAGCTAAAAACAGGTCTTGTACTTCCTAAGCCCCTCCCGACCTGATCCCTCTAGGATCCCCTCTAACCCATATATGTGATAATACGATATTCAATACGACATCACGATTGATTTTGCGATACAGTCGGCATTTTTTGCTTAGCGAAAAAATAAATGCGCAGTACTATTGGTGGATAAGATTTTTTCTTACTGCGACTACCAAAGCCGTTGTTTTATTTTTTTCGAACCTGAACTCGTTTAAAAAAAACGAAGTATCGTAGTTTGAAAGAAGCGTTGGCGAATAATTATTGAAATGAAATATACCGTATGCCACTGCATACAGTACCCAGGGTCTTAATCAAAAATGTGATTTTTTCAAATTGAATAGTACCCACGGATACTAAATGAGGAACCGGTACTATTTTAAGGGGGATACAATATACGGGGGATACTGTATATGGAGGTTACAATTACACAACTTTAACAAATAAAAAAAAAATAAATTAAATTAAATTTATTTTCCCTTCTCCAGCCGCTTCTCATTGTATACATGGCCTTCAATACACACTTCGCAAATATTGAGGAAAACTTAATACTTTTCCTCCCTTTATATAAAAATTATGGAAAATATTTAAGCAATAGGAGAAGACACTATACAAAATGATGTTATGGAAGAAGTCTTAACCTTCTATGTCGATAACATTGTGCTTCCAAACTCCGCCTTTTCAACTTTATAAAATTAAGTAATCTATTAAAAAATCAGAGTTGGATTATAATAACAAGAGAATTTCTGGATATAGAAATTAATACTTCTTTTTTTGGGTTATGGCTCATGATGTCCTTGCCTCATGATAAAAAAAAAAAAAGATGCGAAATTTTTAAATTTAAAAATTATCAACAACTATTAGTATTTAAAAAATGCCAAGAGGAAATTTTCACGTACGACGAGCTGCAAATTCACAAAAACAACATTGACAATGGAATGCCAGAGAAAAATTAATGGTTGTATTTTACCATGAAAATGGACATAGTGTTCGAGCCACTGCAAATAAATATAATATACAAACAAGTTTGTGACTGAAAGAATAAGAAAAATGATTTAATGCATGCAAGGCCAAAATATTCACAACTTGAGGTGAAGCTTTTGGAGTGGTTTTGTGAGTGGTAAATTAAATATTTAATCAAAAATATACAAAAATTAATTTCTTAGATCTCTCTTCTGTATTAAAAGATGTATCTTGTAACATATATTGCTATCCAAATATAAGAATGAGGTGTGCAACAAGTTTCCCATTAAAGATGGTCCCCATAATTATTTTCAAATTTCAATTGAGTTGCAACTTAATTGCGCTATAAGGAAATTTAATTGCGCTACAAGTTGCAACTCAATTGCGCTATTTTTTCAATTGCAGTGACCATCTTTATTTCTCACAATATCCTGCTTCAATAAGCCCATTTTTTTAATGAAGTTTCAAGTTGATTAAGGATGAATCTTCTATTTGTTTCAATTTCAACAATTTGCAAAGCAACTTCAGAAAGAATAGGTTCAGAGGGATATATGGTTAAAATATTTTCTCTACTTTTTGAAACACTAATACAAGTATTCATATAACTGCCTACAATAAATAGGTAAGCTGAGATTGAATTAAAATATTCAGAGAGATAAGACAGCTTAATATAGCCAAAGAAATAGCAAATATATTTTCTTCATCATTAAATATATATTCTATTAGTTATGTCAAGTCTGATAATTGGTATTCCCTTAAGAGTTTGTATTTTACAAATTCTACTACTTCCTTAATATCTTTTCCTACAATAACATTAAATCCCTATAATGATCAGCCAAAGAGTAAGCAATGGTTTAGATGATCTTTCAGTTTGTAATCAAGTGTATCAAATGTCATGACATTGATAAATGGTAGAAGTAGCTTGATATTTTTATCTCTGATTCTATGAGAAGGATCTCATTTTATTAGAAGTGAAAAGTTGACTAACTGTCCTATTGTATCAAGCATGACACAAAGGAACCAATATTTAATCCATCCAATATCCTTTATAGAATAACAAATTATTCTAAAAGGTGATGATACATTGTCATCTTTGCCAGAAAACAATTGACATGCTTTATCAAAATAGAAAAAAAATGCAAAATGCTATTTTCTTAATGTTGAGAAGGTATATCATTAGGTATAAATTGAATATCATGATCCATCTTTTGAATTACTTGATCCCAAAAGTTTTTTTCAATATCTGAACTCATTTGCATGTTCTAAAAATCACTTAAACATGAAAGCTCTCTATTTTGAAGCTTCTCAATAAACACTGCAATAGTTTTTTTAAAAAACATTTGAAATCAATCAATAGCAATTTTTGGTTTTTTCCAATTTTGCAAATAGTTTATCATATTTCTTACAATGCTAATATAAAGAGGATATCTATTGACATTTTCTAGTTGTAAACAGATGTAAACAATATAGATATTTTAAGCTAATTTAGCAATCAAATGAGATTTGTCATATTCTGAACTTTGAATAAGAGAGAAGTATGAAACATATGAGAGATCCTTTTTATATGTATTCAAATAATACTTAATATGATTTTAGAATTCATCTATAAAATTATTTGAATGCATAAATTTTTCAGTAAAAGACTTTTAGCTATTGTGATATTAAAGTCCCTACCTTTCATTTTTGTCCTGATGTACTCGCTTAAAACCCAATATGAAAAAAAATAAATATTAGACAAAGTATATTAAAATTAAAAAATAAATAAACAAAATGAAAAGAACAAAAAATAATTTTTTTTGCAATTTGTTCATTACCTTCTCCTCTTCTACTGAAATTAACTAACACCTCTTGCAACTTCAACACCTGCTTCTTTCAGTCATCTTTATCCTTTACTAGCTTTTTTTTTTCTTTCAACTTATCTATCTATCTTTCTCATCTTTCCTTTTACTCTTTGTTCCTGTAATTTTTGTCGTTCAACTTTTTTTTCAACTTTACTAATCTTTTTTGTTTATCCTTCCCTTCTTCAAACTTCTTCAACTCCTCTACTACCTTCTCATAATCTTCTCTTATTTTGTTTAATTCTTAGTTGATTCTTTCGAAAGTTAACATTTTTTAAAAATAAAAATTTTTAAAAATGAATTTTAAAAAAAAAATTTTTTTTGTTAATTTAGATCGTAATTGTTACAATTAATTATTTCTATAAATAATTTGGATCAATGATAAATTAGTAGGTATATGACTTGCAATTAGAAAATTTTTTTTACAGACAAATGAATTAAATGATAAAAGAAAATTATTTTTATTTAATTCAACTAATACAGTCAACGACCAAAATTATGCAGACAATTTTTTTACCAAAATTGGGCAGATCATCATATAATCACGTGATATAAATATTACGATTTTTTATTTATTTATATAATAAACATATACACAAAATTTTTTAGCTATTCCACTTTTAGTTAAAGCTTTATGAAATTATGAAGGCGCTCATCCCAAAAACTTATGGTACTATTATTTATGGCAAAAAATGTGGACAATCAGGTCGAACTATTGCTAAAAATTTAGGGTGTAGCAAAACAACTGTTTATAAAATACTTAAACATTATCGTTAAACTGGTTCTTTCACATTAAAAAATAAACTAGCCGCCTACCACTTCTTAATACACTATCTTAACAAAAGCTTAAAGCTTTTGTTCAAGAAAATAGTGAAAATCGTCGACTTTGTGAAAAAAACTTGTAACTATTTGGACAGCTCGTACAAAAAAACCCATTTCTGCATTTACTATACGTCATACCCTCAAAAAAATTGGACTTAATACTCATATTCCTTGTCACAAACCTGCAATGACAGAAGCACATTGTCAAGCTCGTCTTAAATGGGCTCGTGTATATGAAAAATAGACAACAAGACAATAGAGAAAAGTGCTTTTTTCAGATGAAAGTACTTTTACACAATTTTAACATTTTAACAAGAACGTCAAGGAAAAGTATGGCATGAATCAGGAAAAGAATTGAATCCTGATCGCATTTCAGTTAGAGTTCTGAATGAGTTGAGTTGAGTCGAGTTTAAAGATCAACTCGACTCGACTCTCTTTTTTCAAGTCGAGTCGAGTCAAATTTATTTTATAAAATCTTTCAAT